TGTCAATCATTTTAATGTTAAAAAATCATATTCCTGACATGGTTATATTCCAGCTATATTACTATAAACAAAACTATATATCTTAAATTTGATAACTAACGGGGAGTGTGCCATGCGTGGCTTGTTATTATACATTTTTTTCATGAATATGCATGAAGGGCAGTAGGGTGATCATTTTAAATGCAGCTAAGCACAAGTCAATGCATTCCTGTACTGCCTGACTGCAGACTTTGCTGTATTCTCATGATAACGTTATTATTATACATTTTTGTCATGAATATGCATGAAGGGCAGTAGGGTGATCATTTTAAATGCAGGTAAGCACAGGTCAATGCATTCCTGGTACTGCCTGACTGCAGACCTTGCGGTATATTCATGATAACGTTATTATTAAACATTTTTTTCCTCCTTGTTGTCATAAGGTAGTAAGATATATGTTTACTCATGCCTGGACGATCATTTGTGTTCAATGACATGATTCTGTTTCAATCACTTACATTGTTCTGTAAAATACAAACCTGTCAGAGTGGCACATGTACACTCATAAAATAATATTCTCAATATATGTGTTTCTGCGTTGACTGGAACTGCCTGTTCATCATCTGATAACCGCACTACATGTAGTATTGATTGACCAATGAAAGTATTCTGTACATGGATCATGTGGTATTGATCGACCAATGAAAATGTTCTGTGCATAGATCATGTGCTATTGATCAACCAATGAAAATCTTCTTTGCATATAGATCATGTGGTATTGATCAACTAATGAAAATCTTCTTTGCATAGATCATGTGGTATTGATCAACCAATGAAAATGTTCTGTGCATAGATCATGATTCTTTAAAGGCCCAGGTATACTATAAATACGCTCCTAAACAATAGGGATTATTTCCTTGCTTGTCACGCTGTAGTAAACAGCTCCAGCCAAGCTCCGGTAAAAACGTGTTTTCTCGAACTTACAGGTCGATTATGTCGTGCCAAAGTGGATGCATGTGACTATGAATATCACAGCAGTGACTGTGTGTAATATTTATGACAATAAATTGTGTACGAGCTGAACATGAACCGGGGAAAAGGATGCGTGACTAATCTTGAATAATTACTACTGTCAATCAAAGTCACGTGATGTTGGACCGCTGAAACAGGATGCGTCATAGGCTATGCAAGTGATTAACACCATGCATTAGAATAGCCACACCTCCAATTCACACTTGCCCGGGGCAAGTGAATTGGGCCTTTAACTCGTTCAATAATCTGACAATTATTTTTTATTATTCAGAGAGACCAATTATGTTCAAGACTGTATCAGAAAGTTTTCAGGATTCATTTGATGATGCAGTAAGTGCTATATTAATATTTAATATTTGAATTCCACCTTTTGTATTATCTGTAGAAAATCTCTCATTAACCTCTGACCCCTGTAAGCATTATGAGGGCGTTAGGCTGTGTATAGTTCATGGCAAATCCTACAGAATCCTGAAATCGCATTTAGAAAATTATATGTGAAATATAGGTAGCTATGGAAACACAAAAAGTGCGCACATGCAAATGACTTTACATAAATTTGATTGTATAATAAAAATTATGTTTGATTTGGTGATTAGATTTGTTGCCATACCAACTGATTTTATTATTTTTCTTGTTGATCATAATAATCAATGGGAGTCATCTGTGAGCATACCCAGTAACACACAGTCGGAAAACACCTTTAATGTTTAAAAGTTGTTTTTCCAGCAAAGATTTTTAAATAATTCAATTCAACTGGAAAACAAAAATAACATACCTTAGAATTGCAAAAAGATCAGATTATTGGCTTATGCCAATCTGTGGGTGCTTACCATATAAACAAATCTTCATGTTCTTTACAGCACAGATAACACAAATCGGGAGGTTTCGTTGAAGTGCAAATAAGCAATTCGAGATAAGACGTGATTCACTCTAATTAGATTAAAGATGGATTAAAACGGATCCCAACAGACGTTACATCAAAGAAAAGACCGAGTTGCATGTCCCTCTTCTCTGGTATCTTTGGTTACAGTTTAGCTATTTTTTTTCAACAGGAAACTAGCGATTTAAAGTTTATCATTGAAGAGAAAACTGTCCATGTACACAGATCAGTTTTAAAGATAAGGTTTGTTGTTGTTTCTTTGTATGTTACACAGACACAATTCTTGAATTGTACAAGAAAACTGTTATGCAGCATAAGATATAGGGATAATCTTAAAGGGGAACCGATACTATAATTAAGATATAGGGATAATCTTAAAGGGGAACCGATACTATAAATAAGGGGCAAGATGGCCACCACAATTAGTATGCTAATCTGAACCAAGCTGCTAACATCGTGGTGAGAGCTCCAGGAAATGTGCCATTTACGATGTTTAGAGATCAAGCTGTGATTCCAAATACATTTCTACGGGGCATGAATATGTACGCTAGTGATTATACTCATCTGGTTGGGCTTTTGATGTATAAATGTTGTTATTTTCGGTCGAAACGTGCCGCGAAAAGTAAAAATCCTGAGTTTAAAATGGCGGCTAATATATGCAAAATGCCTGTCAATCACAGTTTGAGTAAGCGAGCATTTATTTACTTAGTGGACAGAGGCGGAGTTAATTACCCATGAGCTTGTGATGCAATCCATGGGATTGAGCGGTTCCCTTTTAAGCCTATTAGATGATATACATCATCTTTCAACACAATTACATACATCACTAGGTAATAAAATTAATCAGAACTTTTTGTAAGCTTCATCCTCTTGAACAATCAAAGTCTGTGTAGTAATGGATTATACAAGTGGCAGTGGTCAATACACACATCTCTGGACTGCAAAATATCCTGGATAGTCTAAATCATGTATCAAATAACTGTGAACGTACAGGCATATAATAACAAACATTTGTCTTGTCTCTGTGCTTTGGAAATGGCGTCATACTTCAAAGACCAGTACCATTTGGTACTTGGTTCACATCCATGTAGTATTTCGTAATATCAAAAACAAACAATCACATTCCTCTGTTGCTAAGCACACGCATGCACTCCCTGTCAATACTTGTGACAGCGAACATCGCAAAGTGGAACAGTCTACTATCTTTGGGGTATACACTAGTCCCCAGCTAGAATGAATATTTATTTCAATGATTCTTCTACCATTGTCACTCTAGACTACAGATGAAGGGATCTGATCTGAAGTGTCTTGTTTGAATTTCTTTTCTTTCAATTTGCACCATTTAATTTCATAGTTTTGTTGATTTTAATATTTCAATATTTGCTTTTTCATGTTTCATATTCTTTTTTACATATTTTTGACAAATAAAAGAAAACCTGTCATCAATCTTGTTTTCATTTTCAGATGTGAACATTTTCGCTCTATGTTTCAAACGCACTGGGATGAACATGAAAAAGAGTAAGTAGTTGTGTCATAGTCATTGTATTGCTACGTAAAGTGACGAAATGACCGATAATACATGTGGTGGAAACAGTCTACAAAAAGACCAAATCACAGATGTGATTGAAAATTGAGTACATGTATTTTGAAATGCTTACAGAATTATGTATTTTGTGGTCATCTTTGCAGTGTGATTGAAGTGACTCAGTTCAGTTATCCAGTTTACTGTTCTTTTCTGAAGTATCTCTACACGGATAATGTGGATCTGCCACCAGAAGATGCAATAGGTAGGACTCAGAGGGCGCTCTTTACATCCTGAAATCTATAAATTGATTTACTGGGGGCGGGGGGATTGTAAAAGCATTAATTTTCAATAGTGTTTATTAGTTTTCTGGTAATTTTACTTTTCCTTTAAATTAAATTAGCTGATTTCACTTATAAAAATATTCAAATTAAAACAAGCAAAAAATTATTTTGCTTTAAATAAAGTATCTGGTCACCTGAATGGAAATTTTGGATGCAATTTGTCCACGGTAGTCAACAATAATTTTTTAATAAGTTTTTATATTATGATTAGATTATTAAGACATTTTGTAATACATGAGCAGAGTATTTTTGATGTGTTTGCTATTCATTGAAATATGCTGCGTCAGAACTATTTAAAAATGTAAAAACACAGTAGAACTTATTTAAAGGTTTTTAGTGAATACATTTAATTTTTAAATAGTGCAAATTATATCTTATGAAAATAAATGCCTACACTATAACCCAATAAATCACATAATGCCCACAGCACAATGAAATGAGGCAGAAACTTTACATAAGGATAATTCTAATTTTACTTCAATGGATAATTTCGATAAATATATTTACATTATGACAAACTTCTACATTAAGCTTGGTGTGTTTATAATGCAAACAGGTGTGTATTAATAATAGTATAACACCTGATTCTATACTACTTTGTAATTGCCTTTTAATTAATCTGTTATTTTTCTTTTTTTTTCTTTTTTTTTACTGTGTTATTTGATTATCCTCCTACTTTTTTTAGCTCTGCTATCGACTTTGTCGAGCGGAGCTTATCATATGAGTGATTGTCCGTTGTCGTCTGTCGTCCGTCGTCCGTGTCAATGTTTTACTTTTTCGACTTCTTCTTGTAAAACTACGAGCCTGAATGCTTTGATACTTGGTGTATATGTACCTTGGGCAGACCTCTCTCAGATTTGTTCATTTCATGATGATATCTTCAATTCTCTAATTTTGGTGAATATTTTTGTCATTTTTGGTAAAAGGTGATATTTTCCTGTTCTTGTTACAAACCGCAAGTCCAATTGCTTTGATTTTACATATATAGGTACTACATGTTGACCTCTCTAAGATTTGTTCATTTCATGATGATATCTTCAATTCTCTAATTTTGATGAATATTTTTGTCATTTTTGGTAAAAAGTGATATTTTCGACTTCTTGTTAAAAACCACAATCATTTATGGTGAAAAATGATACTTTTGAATTCTTGTTGAAAACAGCAAGTCCCATAGCATTGATACTATGCATATTGTTCATTTTTTAATGATATCTTCTGTTCTTTAATTGTAATGTGCATTGCTAACAGCGGAGCTATCTCAGCTGAGAGGCTGCTTGTTTTTATTTTACTTGACTATGTTCATCTTCTATAGAAAGAATAATGTCAATAAAGTTAACTTATTTTATCTTATAATGTATATTACAGGTTTATTAGATCTAGCTAATAGTTACTGTGAAGATCATCTCAAGAGACTTTGTGAAGGTATTATAAAACAAGGAATTACAGTTGATAATGCTGCCATGTTATTAGCTGCTGCTATTAAATATGAGGCCAAGGTATGTGTGCATCTGATGCTGCCCCCGGCCCCTCTTTTCATCTCTCAACCCAAATTACCCGCTACAGATTATTTTTTATTTTAGGAAGATTCAAACTACTGGTATGCCCAGATCGATTACAATTTTGTGTTTCATACAATTTGGATTGTGTGATGTTTACTATGTGTGTCGTTTACTATACTATGTGTAATGTTTACTATGTGTGATGTTTATCATATATGTGACATTTTCTATGTGTGACATTTACTATGTGTGATGTTTATCATATATGTGACATTTTCTATGTATGACATTACTATGTGTGATTTTACCATATATGTGACATTTTCTATGTGTGACATTTACTATGTGTGACATTTACTATGTGTGATTTTTACCATATATGTGACATTTTCTATGTGTGACATTTACTATGTGACATTTTCTATGTGTGACATTTACTATGTGTGACATTTACTATGTGTGACATTTACTATGTGTGACATTTTCTATGTGTGACATTTTCTATGTGTGACATTTTCTATGTGTGACATTTACTATGTGTAACGTTTACTATGTGTGACATTTTCTATGTGTGACATTTACTATGTGTGACATTTTCTATGTGTGACATTTTCTATGTGTGACATTTACTGTGTGACATTTTCTATGTGTGACATTTACTATGTGTGACATTTTCTATGTGTGACATTTACTATGTGTGATTTTTACCATATATGTGACATTTTCTATGTGTGATTTTTACCATATATGTGACATTTACTATGTGTGATTTTTACCATATATGTGACATTTTCTATGTGTGACATTTACTATGTGTGATTTTTACCATATATGTGACATTTTCTATGTGTGACATTTACTATGTGTAACGTTTACTGTGTGACATTTTCTATGTGTGACATTTACTATGTGTGACATTTACTATGTGTGACATTTACTATGTGTGACATTTTCTATGTGTGACATTTTCTATGTGTAATGTTTACCATATATGTGACATTTTCTATGTGTGACGTTTACTATGTGTAACGTTTACTATGTGACATTTTCTATGTGTGACATTTACTATGTGTGACATTTACTATGTGTGACATTTACTATGTGTGGCATTTTCTATGTGTGACATTTTCTATGTGTGACATTTTCTATGTGTGACATTTACTATGTGTGACATTTTCTATGTGTGACATTTACTATGTGTGACATTTACTATGTGTGACATTTACTATGTGACATTTTCTATGTGTGACATTTACTATGTATGACATTTACTATGTGTGACATTTACTATGTGTGACATTTACTATGTGTAATGTTTACCATATATGTGACACTTTCTATGTGTGACATTTACTATGTGTGATTTTTACCATATATGTGACACTTTCTATGTGTGACATTTACTATGTGTGATTTTTACCATATATGTGACATTTTCTATGTGTGACATTTAAATCGTCAAGTTGTTAAGGAGTAAAAGATTAAATTTCGATGTCGCGAACATCCATATTTTCAAATTGTTCAAATTTCTGGCAGAAAAAAAGTGTATAGTATATACAGGTCATTTTGTTTACTGTGACATCCCCCTATATGGACTGTTGTCTATTTAAACTTACCATGTATAGAGATGTTGTAATTGACAAGATAATATATTGTATTTTCCCCCTGTAGGATTTAGAAGAGTTCTGTTTCCAGTTTGCGATGAATCACATGACTGCCGTAACACAGACAGATGCGTTTGCCAAGTTAGACGAATACACGTTGAAAAACTTCATCACCAAAGCCGCTGTGTGTGGTGCTTTCAAATCTTGATAATGAAAATTGACCCCAATCTGAAAAAATCTGATGTGAGGTTTGAAACCACAAACAAGCTTTTCTGCCATATAATCAACTTAATATTTTTGCTAAATACTTAATTTTGTGGTTTCATTTTTTGTTAATTGAGGTTCATTACAATTTATATTGGTGAGCTAAGACAAGGTTGGGGTGGGTGTTGGGCTTCATCATGAATTCTATACACAGTATTTGTGTGTAGAAGTTCATTTCCTAAAGCACACTTAAAGCAAATATTTTTTTATTTATTGTGTGCTGAATCTTCTAAGTATAATTTGTTTTTATCGTGTAACTACATGCGCTACTACCAGAGCAAAGTTTGTTTTTGTGTAAATGTTATTTTTAATGAATATTGAATTATTAATTTGCTTATTCAAAAATCACATTTATTTATTAATTAATCTTCCAGATAATCAGTCTATTTATTACTAAATGTGCGTTGTTCAAAAACTATTGGTACTGTATTACTTCTATTTCAAGTGCATCTCTGATAGAGGTGCCTGTTTGTCAAAAAATTGTGTTTTGTGAGATTTTAAGTAACTTAACTTATCTATTTGCATAAATACATGTACCGGTACTTCAAATAGAGCAAATTCATTATAAGTGTTTTACAGTGTTATTAGTTTCTGCCAAATGTTCGAGCCAATGTTTTTCCATTTTTAAAAAATTCAGTATTATGTTTAAATGAAACTTATATATATTTTGGTAATTTTTACAGTCTCAAGATAGGTTTGCAGTGAAAATACAGTAGAGGTAGAAATATTTGTTTTTGTTACCAATTGACAGAAAGGATACAGCTGATAGTCTTGGTTTTGCTGTAGCTTAATTAGTCCCTGTTCGAACGCAGTCCGAAAACAGGGACTTATGTTTTGACCTCCGTGTGTCCGTGCTTCTGTGCGTGTGTGCGTCCGGATCTGTATCTTAGAAATGCCTGAACCAATCACAATCAAACTTCACACATACGTCATACATGATATTATACATACGCACGTCAATTTATTTCACGATCTGATTCAAGATGGCCGAATGGCGGCCATTTTTGTGCTAAAAAATCATCAAATTCAAGCATTTCTCGGCTGTTTACAGATGGATTTTGTTCAAACTTGTTATATACGTTAGACATTATATGACCTTGATGCACAACATTTTGTTTTTCAGATAAGATACAAAATGGCCGACTGGTAGCCATTTTGTTTTAATGAATGTGGTTCTAGTGCCATATCTCTGACTTGCTTTGACTGATTATGTTCAAATTTTAAATATTCATTATAAATCATGTCATAAATATACAGATATATTGGTTTGACGATCCATTTAAAAATGGCCAAATGGTGGCCATTTTTGTGCTAACAAATCATCAAATATCAAGCATTTCTGGCATTTATGGATGGGTTCTGTTCAAACTTGGTACATACATTAGACATTACGAGTTCCTAGTGCACGTCATTTTATTTTTCAGATCGGTTTTAAAATGGTCGACTGGTGGCCATTTTGTATTAATGAATGCAGCTCTAGTGCCATATCTCTGACATGCTTTGACTGATTATGTTCAAATTTTATATATTCATTATACATGTATTCAAAATGGCTGATTTTGTTTTAATTAATGCTGTTCCAGAGCAATATCTCTCAATACTCGTTTGACGATCAGATACAAATGTCAATCATTTTAATATTAAACAATCATCATAATCATATTTCTGACATGTTTATGTTCCAGCTATATTACTATAAACAAAACTATATATCTTAAATTTGATAACTAACGGGGACTGTGTCTCGCATGGCTTGTTTTTGTTATTTTTATCATCAATATAAGTAGTAAAAATCAACCAATTTCAAAGCATTCCTTGAAACATGTGACAAATTGGTTTCTGAACCAAGCTGTAGCCAAAGTTTGGTCCACTGATTTGGGGTGTTATGCTATGAGGAGAAGTTTACATCCATGTTTTCACATCTTGAAATGTTATCATGTAATGTACCAGCAAAGTGTTTCCATCAGTTGTGGAGAGAGGAATTTTCTATCAAATGTGAAACTTTGTCGTGCCTGCCTTCCTACCTACATGTATTCCCCCCTTATTTGACACTAAATCACTCAATTGGTACAGTCAGTAAACTGTAAAAAAACATCAAGAAATGTATGAACATCAAGAAAAGTTGATAATGGCAGTGAAAGGCTGATATGCAAATGGACTAATTAGTATGCACGAACAGAACATAGAACTTCTATGCAGAATGTGATAAAAATTGATGATATGCAAATTACAAAATTATTACATATAATTTTTTGGGGTCACATCACATCACTTAATTAATATGCATAGATAGAACTTTTTTCTGGAAGTTGATAAAAGTTGACAATTGTAGTGAAAGGGTTGATGATATGCAAATTATCTAATATGTATAGAAAGAAGATGAAAGTGACAAAATTGACAATGGGAGTAAAAAGGGTTGATATGCACAGACAATGTCACTTTGTGGAAGCATGAACAGTGTATGGTAAAAATTGACAATTTCACAAAGTGAATATGCAAATTACATCATTAATATTCTTATATAAATGCAAACAAAACTAGAAATGTTGATAATAATTTGAAAAGTTTACACATGGTTGATGAAACAATATTTTAGTTAAATAAATTTATACACTTCATAGTCTTTCCACCAAAGGGAATAATATAATAAACTAAATATTTTTGCTGCTAAGCCTAATTTTGTAACTATGTTTTTAAATTTTGGGCATTATTCATTAAGTTTATTATATTTCAAGTTCATAAATTCCACCAGTCACCTGTGGAGAAACATCTTCCACAAATACCTTATTTTCGCTGATTTTTTTTAGTGGTAACCAATTTTCTATATTTATCTAATAATATACAGATTTTGAATTCATAATTTATATATGGTCTATTGAGATCAGCATTAAAATGTAAAGAAATGGATTGATTGAAAAGCAAGATATTATCCTTGCATTAACAAAAAACAAGAAAAATGATCGAAGTTGTGATGAAAGTTGTCTTGAAAAACTCATTTCATTTCATGCATGATAGCATTTAATGATCTGAACTGATTGCAGCCAATCAGGACAGAGTTCAATGTCTGCATGTGCTAATATGTAGATGTGTGTAATATAATAAAGTGTCACATAAATGTTCCATTGTGCATTTGTTCTTAAATTTGTATTTCAACTTTAAAAGTATGTGAAATATTACTCCAAAAAATAGCTAAAAATATAAAATATGTAAATTTTATGTTTTTGCTATGTAATACAAGTATTTCACAAGTAGGTAATACAAGTAATTCACAAGTATGTAATACAAGTATTTCACAAGTATGTAATGCAAGCATTTCTCAAGTATGTAATACAAAGGTTTCACAAGTATGTAATACAAGTATTTCACAAGTAGGTAATACAAGTATTTCACAAGTAGGTAATACAAGTATTTCACAAGTATGTAATAAAAGTATTTCACAAGTTTGTAATACGAGTATTTCACAAGTAGGTAATGCAAGTATTTCACAAGTATGTAATACAAGTATTTCACAAGTATGTAATACAAGTATTTCACAAGTAGTAATACAAGTATTTCACAAGTAGGTAATACAAGTATTTCACAAGTAGTAATAAAAGTATGATGCAAGTATTTCACAAGTATGTAATACAAGTAATTCACAAGTATGTAATACAAGTAATTCAAAAGTATGTAATACAAATGTGCAACTTCTGTTTTGTAAACTTGTTTCTTTCTAGAATATGGGAAAAATTGTATAAAAAGCCTGGAGGGGGGATTTAATAAACCATTTTTTTTTCGACATTTTGTATGATAATCGTAAAAATCTGTCTCTGTCTGTGTCTGTGTGTGTGTGTCTGTCTGTGTGTGCGCGCGCGCGCGGGCGGGCGGGCGGGCGGGCGGGCGGCGGTGTGTGTGTGTCTGTTCCACTGATATCTCAAGAACCATACATCACTTTTTGATGAAACTTGGTGCATAGATTCTCTGGGTATTACAAGTAGGTAATACAAGTAATTCACAAGTATGTAATACAAGTATTTCACAAGTATGTAATGCAAGCATTTCTCAAGTATGTAATACAAAGGTTTCACAAGTATGTAATACAAGTATTTCACAAGTAGGTAATACAAGTATTTCACAAGTAGGTAATACAAGTATTTCACAAGTATGTAATAAAAGTATTTCACAAGTTTGTAATACGAGTATTTCACAAGTAGGTAATG